TTTTATCAGTTTGAAAAAGTTTTTTGATAATTTTTTTTATTTTTCGCGTTGCTGTGGTTCATGTAATTTATGTTTTTGACATTCATTTGCACAGATTCTTGGGGTCAGTTTTGTAGTGTACCTGATGCACAGGTATTTTATTGGTAGATAAATATCCCAAGTAACTCGGTTTTAACTACCATCAACATTAAAGGAAATTGAAATAAATTAAAATTCATCAAATTAAACTCTGAAACAAGTAGAAATAACACACATCTATGTGGAGGCAATGTTTAACCTCAATAGTTTGTTACATTCTTGGTGGAAACGGCCATTAATTAATGATTGGGGGATTTTGTTTTCAGTGTCCGGGTAAAATTGGGTATTTTATGATATTGGAAAGGGTAATGAGAATTCTTGGTCCGGCAACACTGCAGACAAAATCAAATACAATTTGAGGCCAAAAAACGCAGCAGCAACGACACCAATAGAATTATTAAGACCACCCTATAGGAGCACAGAATCAGAAAACGCGCTCTTTCTGCCGAGAAGATCACTGTTCAGCGTTGCCAACTTAGCGGATTTTCCGTCATATCTAACGGATTTTGGTGAAGGGAAGCGGAAAAAAAACAGTTTCAACGGGTGACGGATTTTTTAACGGAAACGGAATTTTCGCGATGAACTACTTCCATGATTTCATGAACACAAACGCTTTCGCGAGAAACTCATGACGTCATATTGAACGTAGTTCGTCGAAAGCATGGACAAAGCTACTAGACAGCGTCCAAACTCATGACGTCAACAGACGAACTAGGTTCGTTCTGGGATGAACTACGTTCGTCGCGAAAATTCGGTTTAAATTTCCGTTCGAAAATTCTAAATTATGTTCTGTAAATGTAATGAACTGGTTGTTTAGCGATTCAAGCTATATAAGTTCTTTTCACGTGGCTCCGGTGAAACTAACCGGGTTACAAAACGGTTAGAGAAATGACATACCGTTTTCTAACCCGGTTACAAAGTGACGTGATGGATACCTACCACTCGAATTTGAGCGGTATGTTGCGGTTTGTTAAACCGGAGCCACGTGAAAAGGGTTTTTGGGTCTCTAAACAAGCCTTGCTGGAAACGATGATCCGACTAGCCTGATCAGATCACCAGCTGATGTTGTCTGTCTTTTTTCAATGGTGTTCATTGAAAAAAGATGAATGACAAACAGCTGGTTTCTGAAAACGTCTAAAGTCAAATAGCACTGTCGTCAATGTCGTTGGCTCCGCATGATTTGGTTATTGGTTGGCACTACTGACTACCGCGCGACCGAACCGGGACTTCCCCGGGCCCGAATCTTCTCAACAAAACATAAATATATAATACATTTTGTTTGTTTATAGTCTAAGAGCCAGCGCCGAAAAAATTCTCTGAATTTACTAAAGCTAGTTTTTGGACAGTAGATTACAGTATTTATGTACATAAACATACCGCGGTCAGTCAAGCGAAACTTGGGACAAGGACCCAGGGTGTCTTGTTAAAGGTGTCGAGATAACTTGGGTAATGCAACGAATTTACTAAAGCTGAAAATCGTTATACATATTATATATAACATATAAATAACAGTAGTGTTAGTCAGTCAGTTGAATAGCGGGACCGTGCTGGTCAGTCAACCCCAATAAATGTAAAAATCTGCAAAAAATATTAATATTACTGAACAAACCTATTAATTTATACTTCAACCTACAATTTTGAATTGTCACTGTCAAGCTGTCACTCTAAAAAAAAAATAGACCTATTTTTTTTTTACATAAATTGGGGCTGAACTACCTCAATGGGGCTGAATGACCGGCCCAGTTCCGCTATTCAACTGACTGACAAACATCAATGTTATTTATGTGTTATATATAACATGTATAGCGATTTTCAGCCTCAGTAAATTCGTTGCATTACCTAGCTATCTCGACAACTTTAACCAGACACCCTAGGTCCTTGTCCCAAGTTTCGCTTGACTGACCGAGGTATGTTTATGTACGTAAATACTGTAATCAACTGACCAAAAACTGGCTTTAGTAAATTCAGAGAATTTTTTCGGCGCTGGCTCTCCGGCTATTAGCACATTTCGCATTTTTTATTCTAACGGATTTTGTTGACGGAAAAAAAAAATGGTTTAACGGATTTTTGACGGAAACCAACAGCAAAGTTAACGGAATTGAAAAAATACTGTTGGCAACACTGTCACTGTTAAAGATCACCACCAGAGTCGCCCAGTATCAGCTTAGAGCAGATTAACAGCAAGATAGAAAACCAAGCAAATAATCAAACAGGCTACGAAGAAGACAGTGTTTTTGGTAGCCCACCAGACCTTACCCTTCAAAATGCACCAAAACCCAGGCAACCATCAAAAGAGAAAGTAGAACAACCGGAGATAATGTCAACACCACAATAACACGCTATGACAGCGGAGAAACAGGCAAAGTTGCCTCAGTTTATCAGCCCTCAAACCTCCCACCCATGTAAAACCATCGCGATCGAGTTCCTAAGAACATATGACAGATCAGCAATAGCAAATGGGTGGGACGAAAAGCTGAAAATTGTTTATTTTGAAACGTATTTAGACGGAGCCGCAAACCTGTGGTTTGAGGAATATAAGCGCGATCACCAAAACAACAGCTGGAAAGACATTGTCAAAGATTTTTCAGAGGAATTTGAGGATACAGATTGCCGAAGGGCACTCAAGAAAAATGTCGAAAACAGAAAGCAAGGTCAAGATGAGTCAGTCAAGGAATACTTGTACAATTTCCAAGTATTATACCACAATTACACAAATACATTTGATATACAAGAATTTGTAAGGATTTTTAGCGAAGAATTGACGGAGGCAAATCATTACAATTACTACTGGTTAACAAACCCGCCGAATAAGCCACCAACATCACTTATACAATTAAAAGAAATAGCAGACACAATAGACAAAGCTACGAAGAAAGATGCAACGCAAGATACCCAAATTGCCAGCTATAGGAAAGATATACAATCCCAGACACAGAACTAAAGATATGTCATTATTGTGGAAAAAGAGGACATGAAATAATGGCCACCTGCAGGATCAGAATGCAAAGAGAACACAGAAGCACAAGAGTACCAATATCTAGCCAAACGTGTTATAATTGTGGCAAAACAGGACATTTCGCAGCTGTATGTAAAGTGTGTTTTTTTTTTAAGATAAAAGTCAAAATGACAATATGTTGGCAATACAATGTAAAATTGTCAATGCTTTCAAATTTTTTATGTAGAACAGGCTTGTGTTGCCAACATAGTTACTAAATGTTTGATTTGGGGAATTATTTTTAAATAAAAAACAAACTTTAGGAGTCAAAAGATGAGAAATCATAACTCCAACCCCAAAATTGCCCCCGTTTGTTACAACTGTGGGAAAACAGGACATACTGCAATAGTATGCAGAAGCCATCAGGCTCAAAGGAACAAATCGTATGCGCCACGAAACAACAAAAACAATCCTGGTTGCTTTGTTTGTGGAAAACAGGGTCACTATGCAAACACCTGTACAATACGACGACAAAACCCAAACGAGAAGGGATGGCAAAATTAAAAGCCCCTGCCATCCTTACCCTGGAGAAGAACAATAACATAGGAAAAAATAAAAAAACTTTAAACTACCCCTATCGAAAAACGGCAGGGGGTGAGTAAAAACTTCATAAAGCAAAACTGTTGTATGTCTTGTAGAAATTTTTTTCACGTTGGTTAAAATTTTTCCTTTTCATTATAAAATTTCAAACGGCCCTTATGAGCACAGACGGCCCTTAATCAAAAAAGTACTTTACATAAATATTGTAGATCAAATAATCTTGCGCATCTTTTATTTGAAACATTTTTTTGTAAAATCACTAGGTACCAAGTAATCGCCAATGGCGCACTTTCAACCCCTATAGCGCAAAATGCCCGAGGGGTGAATGTTTGATATTTTCAGTTTTATGATCACCCACCTGTCCCCTATCATCCCTGAAAAGTTCATTTGGGTAGGAATTTTTGCAATGCGTGTATTTTTCGATTATTTTCCTAGACTGATAATAAATACATGTTTCGTCGACTGTCGATTTGTAAAGAGCGATTGTATTTTATTCCGAGTTTTTTGCCTAATTTGTTGTGAAATAGTGGTAGGAATTTGGTGAATTTTGTAGGAGTTGTGGACTCTGGTATGCTTCATCATGTTTTCAAGTTAGTATCTTGCTAAAAGTTTTAGTTCCTGAGAAATCGTGATTTAGGGAGTAAACAATGGAGGACAATAGCCTAGAATAAACACATTCCGAAAATATTTATATTTATTTATAGTACTTTTTTTATTGTGCGTCGTCAGAGATAGCGGACCTGACCTAGCCTAACTTGCAGGATTCTGTGGTCCGGTAAAATTGGCGTATGTTGTGAAGCGTCATTGGCTTCAAACATGGGTGGAAATCGTAAGGTTCTCAAATGTGTTGTAAAGCCCACACAAAAAATCAAGTAAGAAAATCAATGGATATGTCCATGTCTAATACACATGAACCCAAGGAAACCAAGGATGATTGTGATGGGAGTCCTGTCGGAATGCATAAATGAACTTAGGAGGGTTATACAACTCACTGTACATTATTCCCATATGACACGAGAGGATTAAGAAGTGATAATCCTTCCCATATGACACGAGAGGCTTAACAAGTGATAATCCTTTTGCACGGTAACTGGTGTTTTGACATTTTTTGACAAAAAATTTAAATTTTTGATTCATGAAATTATTAATTGAAAAAGAATTAAAGTTTAGTTCGTTGTTTAACCTTTTGAATACCACTCGATGTTTCAGGCTTACCTAATACTTTTACCTGACACTCAACGCGTTACCAGCAACACCACTCCTCCACGCGTTTCGTGACAGGTAAAAGTATTATCCGGTAATCCTGAAACCTCTTGTGGTATTACATTCGAAAATACGTGACCTCAGAAATGATCTAAAATTTTATGCTGAACAGTATGAAGTTAGTATGTTTAGCAAGGAAATCCTGGCATTAAAAAAAGTGAATGAGGACATGAGTCGAGAACTAGTTAAACTTAAAAGTCAATCCATAGTCAAAGATATTGAAAATAGAGCCAACAATATTGTCATTATGGGCATCAAAAGTAGTCTGAATGAAATTAGAAATGGACCAAGAGAAGTTGAAATGAGAGCTGAAAAAGTTCTAAAGTATGTAGATCCGACACTAAAATCTGAAGATGTTAAATTAAAAATTCTATCTCCAATTAAAGACAATACCCCAATATTAGCAATATTTTGCTCAGTTGATGTAAAGTATCAAGTTATGCAAAAGAGAAAGCCAATTGGAAAAATTGTCAGCAACAAATGTAACATCACCGGATCGCACCTTATATATCTAAATGATGATATGCCTAAGGAAACTAAAGAGTTGTTTATGTCAGCTAGAACTCTCAAGGAACGTGGGTATAAATTTATCTGGGCTAAGGAAGGAAAAATATTTGTGAGGAAGAAAGAGAATGATCTAGTTTTAAGAATCAATAGCATGGAAGATATTAAGAAAATAAAGCAAGGCGATTGAACAAAATCATAAACTTGGCAGTAAAATAGTAGTATATATGTACGTCTTTCTTCTTTTCGTTATGGACTTTAATTCTCTATTGGACGATCATAATACTGGTTGCAGTAGCATTAGAGTATGCGATACATTGGATAACATAATTTTTTTTAAAGCTTCAGCACATAATTTCAATTTATTGCATGTTAATATCAGGAGTCTTAATAAGAATTTTGATAACCTTGTAATTTTTTTTGAATCACTGAACAGTCATTTCGATCTAATTGTGTTGTCAGAGACCAACATTCTCTATAATGTATTAAATTTTCACATTAAAGACTATGATTTATTTTATAATGAAAGCAAAATTAATAAGTGTGATGGCAGTTTGATTTATTGTAAGAGCGTAATAGTAAAAATGAGTAATGTAATTGAAATAAATGACTATAAGTTCTTGAGAGTTACACTCACTAAGGACAATACTAGTATAGGGATAATTTCCCATTATAAGTCTCCTTCTCTTAAAGAAGTTGATTATATCCTTTCTCTGATAAGTCTCTTTGGACAAGCTCATTATACTGCTTGTAATATTGAGCTTTTTGTCGGTGACATAAATTTAAATTTATTTCAATGAATATGTTAGTTGTCTCAATAGCTATGGTTATATTTCTAAAGTTCGTAAACCTACTAGGATAGCAAAACAAAATATAAAAATAACCTGATAATACTAACCAGTTCTGCTTCGGATCATCATTCTTTATTGTTTAATGTTAACTTGGAAAATAAAGTAATTTCCCATGCTCAACAAAAGAACAATAGGTCTTTTAGTAAGGTTGACTACGAACATGTTAAAAATTCACTTCAAACCCAAAATTGGGAAGAAGTTTTGCCATGTCATGATCCCAATACTGCCTCTGAAATTTTTATGAATACCTTAAAGAAACATATACTTGCTGCAACAAATGTGAAAACAATCTCAAATAGAAAATATCGTCTTAAACCATGCAGGCTTACTTGCTTCCATTAGAAACAGAGATAGATTACATAAACTCTGTGTCCGTAATCCATTAGATTAGATGAAACGCTCCGTATTAATTATAGAAACTATAGAAATATGTTAACCAAACTTATTAGAAATACAAAAGCTAATTACTATAAACAAAGATTGGAGGTTGCAAGTGGTGATCCGAGAAAAACTTGGGAAGTAATAAAACAAGCTACAAATGACTGTAACATAAAAACTAATATTCCATGTATTAGAAATAGCATAATCAAGAAGTCTATGATCAGGGCAAAGCTGTCGGTAATTGAATTAAAATAATTGAAAAATTGTTTTTAATTACTTTTCGTAATTGAATTACTTTAATTCAATATAGTCAATATATTCAATATATAATTGAATGTTTCATATGAATTAATCTACGACAACCCTTTCTTCTCGAGTTATGACGCGTTCGATATCAAAAGTATGAACCCTGGTGAAACGATCTATACTAAGCTGGCCAGTAAAATAACTAAGCCGAAAAATGTTCGAGGTGGTGTGGTTAGACAGCGGCAGTTTCCCTCCATGTTTTTGCACCATGTTAATGAGGACGAAATTATAAATGCTGTGACATCACTGAAGCCATGGTCTTCTGCTGATGATTTTGGCGTCTCTAACCAGATTGTAAAATCAAATTTTAGGGTTCTGCTTTCCCCCCTTGTACATATTGTCAATTTGATATATGTTAATGGTATTTTTCCAGATATTTTCAAAAGGGCAGTGATTGTCCCACTACATAAAGGAGGTGATAAAACTGGTCCGGGCAACTATAGACCCATTGCACTCACTAGCCCTATCTGCAAGATTATTGAGAAATGTATTAAAAAACGGTTATGCAATTTTTTGTATGTAAATAAAGTATTGTCAAAGTCACAGTTTGGTTTCACAGGTTTCACGGAGGGGGTTGGTACAGATGATGCCTTGAATGAAGTCACCACTTTCATTGTAGATTGTTTCGATAATGGTTGGAAGCCTCTCGCTGTTTTTCTGGACCTTACCAAAGCGTTCGATACTGTGGATCATCGCACTACTTTTACTCACAGTGAATGTTAAAGAAACTAACTTCATGTGTTTTTCAATGAGCGTGAGGGGGTTACCAAACAGGCATGTACTTAGGGTGCACACCACTGATTGTAATATGAACAACGACTGTACATGTTCTGATAACATCAAATCAGCAAATAAAATTAAATATTTGGGTGTTTACTTTGATAATCACTTGAAATGGCAGCATCATACTGATTACGCTAAAAACAAACTAAAAAAACTCATATACAAATTTTATGAATTACGTAATATACTAGATTAAAAAAAAAACAATCCTAAGAGTGTACAAAGCATTAGTTGAATCCTGCTTGAGCTATGGCATAATATGCTGGGGTTCTGCTTACAATGACGTCTTGAAGAACATTACCGAACACTACCATTGTAAAATAGTATATTGTGTATTTAGGTGGAAAAGTGGCACATTCTCGGCCGACGGTGTAAGTTGACGGGCGAGGCGTAGCCGAGGCCGGCAAACACCGAAGGCCGAGAATGTGCTTTTCCACCGAAATACACATACTATTTTTTCTGCGATCGGTTAAATACATATTAAATGTTTGTCTTTCAGTTCCAATTATTCAGCAATACGAGAATCACTTTTCCGGCCTAGGCCTGTATTGTTATTCATTGATTCCTTAGCAACTATTGAAACATAATTGAAATACCAGAATATTGAGTTTTGCGACTTGGCAACCGGTCAAAAATGCTAACATTTCTTGTCAATCGCAGAAAAATATATATTAAAAGTTATTTTGTCTAAACATAAGCAATGCCCATCTGACCTATTGTTCATGGAGTCTGGAGTTTTCACTGTTGCTCAACTATATATTAAAAATGTCCTTAGATTTTCAATTTCCAGCAAAAACTTTCAGAATTTTATCAGTCATGGCATTCAAACAAGAGCAAATGCAAATCATAATATTATATTGCCCATTACGCATTATAGTGCGACACAAAGATGTATTACTTATATAGCACCCAAATTATTGAATATGTTACCAGAACAATATAAAAACAGAAAATATAGTAGGATTAAGAAACAGTTACATGTATGAATTAGGGACAACACAAATACCATTCAATTCTTTCTCCTTTTTTTCTTCTCGGCCTTTATTGGTAATATGTGTAAATGTTTTTTCTTTTTTTAATGTTATAGGTTAATTTAATTGTAAAATTTATTGATGAGCCCAATATGCATTCACACAGACGCGCATGTCCATTATATGCCTATTGTGTCATCATCATCTTCTTGCTGTGTATTATATTGGTGTTGAATGAGATAAATAAATAAATAAATAAATAAATGTCAGCAATCGTGGATACAGAAGCACAAGATAGCGTTCTACAAAGAAGTCTAATCAAAGAGGAACTAACAAGAAATGATGACACGGTTCTAGTCACTGCAAGGGGACACCAGATAAAAGTTTTGGGATACATTGAAGTTCCGATAGAAATACCAGGGAGTCAAAAATGGAAGGGCAGACTAAACGCCAAAGTGATTTCATCATTAACTCAAAAAATCATCTTGAACTAAAAAGCACATTCACACCAATGAAGGTAGCCTCATTTTAAAAGTACAATCGAACACAAGGAACCCAGTAGCTATATACGCCGGAACCACAATGGCATTTTTGGCAAAAACAGCATCCTTTCACACAATTTCATGTTGCGAGCAGAAAAAGATGAAGAGAGCGAAGAAATAACAATGGAAGATCATACGTTAGACAGCATCACAAACGAGAAGAACAGGCATGAACTCAAAGAACTCCTTCTGGAATACAACGACGTTTGCGCGAAATCTACAAAACATATGGGAAAGACAAACTTAACAGAACACATAATAGACGTCGGAGAGGCTCGCCCAATAAAGAGCCACCCATACAAAGTGTTACAAAAAGAAAGACAGATTATTGACGAACAAATCCAGGAAACGCTCGATAGCGAAGTAATTCGGCCTTGCCACTCTCCATGGGCTAGCCCTGTCCCAGTGAGCATTTTATTCCTAAACCGGAAATGTGTTGTTGGCGACGTCGCTGTTACGTCAAAATGACTTTATTTTGCGTTAAATAGTACACAAAATGTCGAGTGACGTCACAGCTTGTTTGCAGTTTGACACTAAAAAGGAATTGTGCGTAATTGCACACGGTGTCGGAATTGTTACCACACCCAGGGCATGGTGACTTAAAGGAAATTGTTGAGTAACGTAAAATAGGAATTGAGTCAAAACTATGCCGGGATTGTGTCTGTGTCGATCAAAGACACAGAATACTTATTTGTGGAACGTGTGGTGTAACACATTGTAGGAACTTTGTTTTTTACGAAACATAGTGAGCTTTTTTTCAACACAAAGTAGAAATTTTTCCTAAGATTTATTCAAAAAGGCACATGTAGGCTCTGTGTAACTTTATTACGGATTATTCACCACTTTCTTCCCTATTTACACATGATCATTATGTTGTAACGCATAGTGGAAATTGTTTCAGGTTGGGTGTGATGACTTTATTAATATTTCGTGGTATATTATTTTGTTATTAGGGTGAAAAAATCATCTTGAATAATTAATAGATATGCCGACATCTAGCTACTGACTTCAGGAACTATATCTAAGAGCCGAATTTATATAGTTGCTCGTTGAGGTTTTCTCAGACCTCAAGAAACGACTATAAATTCGGCTCTAAGGTACATACCCTAAATGTTCAGCTTAACCTAAAATTTTCAGGAATTGGTTCAATTTTAAACTGTTTTGGAAGATTGGGAGAAACGTTTTTCAAAATGGATTTGCAATTCTTCGCATTTGTTTTTCAAACGCTAGCCCTACAATGTTTGACATTGGAACATGAACCTCTACCATCTACCGCCTCTGCTGATATTTTTTTACAAATGGGGTTGACAAGTCGTTATTAGGACGTGTCACGGCGAGTCAGCAAATAGAAGGTTCGGAACTGTGTTGTCAATTGTTACTGAGATTTATACTAAACACACAAATGCGTAGTAGTGTAACAAAATTCCGTATTTGTGTCATTATTTGAAAAAAGTAGGAACTGTGTAACACCAGAAGGTTGGCGTGTAACACAAGACCCAAAATATGACTATTAACGCATATAAGGCAATAATAGGTAACTTTGTGTATAGCTGCCATATTTTTCTTCATTTTCTTTTTAGTTAAATTTCTCAGCAACACTAAAACGCCCATTGTCGCCAAAATTAGGCAATAATTCAATTTAAACTTACTGCATCAACAAAAAATATTACTTAATAAATAAATTTTTTAGGCGACTGTCACAAAAAGATTAGTTTTACGGATTCAATATCATCCCTAAAGTATATCTTTTTTGGCCGCATTTACTTTACGGCCGCATTTACTTCACAGCCGCATTTGCTTTATTACTTTACGGCCGCTTTTACTTCACGGCCGCTTTTACTTTACGGCCGCTTTTACTTTACGGCCGCTTTTACTTTACGGCCGCTATATACTTTGATGGAAATATATAAACAGACAATCGGAAACGCGGTCCGTAACTATAAACACAACCAATAAATAGTTAGCAACCACAATGGAACCAAATTTTTGATTTTAGCCCTATCCTATTACTTTTTCAAAAAAGCACAATATAGGATACCATGCGAAAAAGTCGGCAATTTTCTATAATCACACTTCCTTTATTGTAGTTTTTGTTACTAATAATTATGTATCTACCTATCTTTGCTGGATTATTTATCTAATCAATAAAAACTTAAAGCTCCTGTTGAATTTTCGTCTTTTTTCAAGAAAAAACACTCGCCTAAAAAATTTTGTGTGCACCTCGGCCGAATGATCTTTTTTGGCCTCACCAAAAAAGATCAACTTTACGGCCTTGGTACACAAATAACTATATTGACCAAAATTATTATTATATATATTTTTTTTTTTTGAAAAATTATATTTCGAAAAAATATTTCTATTATACGTTTTTTATTTGAAGGCCCCTTTGTTCTACAATAGTGTATGGAAAAACTGCACAGAAAAGCTATCGTCGCAAAGAAAATCGACTTTTGTTAGCTTGAGAAAAGTCAATATTAATGGATTATATTTATGATTTATCGCAATGACAATAATTCTGACATGTTAGTTTTTATGAGAGAGTCGATGATAACCGCTGAGGCGCATACACGACTTGCAAGATCTATTCTAAAAAGAAACATTAAATACAAAAAAATGCAAATAATTCCTAACTTGTGTAAGCAGAGTCACATTGGCGATTTCTAAAATAATTTAGTGGGATTTGTGGGAAATAATTACGGATTTGCGGCAGACATAGTTTTGCAAATGTGTCGGCAATGTGTCATCAAAGAATTGACAGAAAAGGCACAAGTACCAAAAACATTCCCACTTTTGTCCTTAAATGTGTTGTGCCACGGTGCTCCACTTCCCACACATAAAAGACACATAGAGGTTGCGGTTTCGACACATGTGTGTGCTGTTAGGCACATAGATCTGATACAATTACGTATTTATTCCCTAAATGAGTCCAAATTTTGCTCACTGGGGTAGTGCTAGTTAAAAAAAAGATGGAAAAACAAGATTTTGTGTAGATTACAGAAAGGTTAACACAGTAACAAAAAAAATCAACATACCCACTACCGCAGATCGATGACATTTCGTCATACTTGGGCAATGCAAAATGGTTCAGCACACTCGATATGTTTTCCGGATATTGGCAAGTTCCAGTCGAAGAGAAGTCCAAGCAATACACTGCCTTCGTGGCGCAAGGACATGGGACTTACGAATTTAATGTTTTAAGTTTTGGATTATGCAATGCTCCAGCCACTTTCCAAGAACTAGCAGACCAAGTTTTTTGGGATATGAAAGGGAAGGAAGTTCTAATCTACCTAGACGACATCATTATATTCTCACAAACATTCGAAGAACACTTGAGCAAACTAAAGAAAGTTTTTGAGCGACTGCGACAAGCTAACCTTACTCTAAAACCAAGCAAATACGAATATTTGAAAAAAGAAATCAAAATACTAGGATTTAAAGTAAATGAGTAAGGCATATTACCAGATGAAGAAAAAATAATTTGCATAAAAGGGTTCCCGACGCCAAAGAAAATTAAAGATGTACAGAGCTTTCTAGGATTATGTAATTTTTATAGAAAATTTATACATAACTTCGCATGAATAGCAGGACCGCTACATGAAGTTACAAGAAAGAACATAGGGTTCAAATGGGGTTCCTAACAAAACAAAACATTTAACATCCTTAACGAAAAACTGGTTTCCGCACCTGTGCTACAACATTTCAATCCAAATAAAGATACCATTTTGCACACCGACGCAGCAACATGTGGAATTGGGGCAGTACTTTTACAAGAAGACGACAAGGGAGAAGCACATCCAATAGCCTACATAAGCAGAAGTCTTTCAAATAGCGAAAAAAACTATTCAACTAGTGAATTAGAACTCTTAGGCGTAGTGTGGGCATTGAGCTATCTGAGACACTTAATTTACGGAAGACCAGTAAAAATCGTCACTGACCACTATGCTCTTTGCTGGATGGACTCCATTAAGGAAAGCAACAGACGCTTGGCCAGGTGGGCACTAAAACTTGCAGAATTCGATTACACGGTTGTATATAAAAAAAGGCTCAACACATAGCGACGCCGACTATATGTCCCGCAATCCAGTGCTTCAACCAGAATCCCAGGAAAAAGAAGAGCAAGGGGAGCTCCCCACATTCACACTGCAAACGGCTACATTACAGGAAAAAGACCCAAGTCTAAAACAAATATTCAAAGCTATAAGAAACCCAGACGACCCAGAAATTAATATTGGCATCAGAAGAAGAGCAAAAAATTGTAGGATTGAAAAAGACTTACTCTATAAAATTAATAAGACATGCATCACCGCCAAGTGGACACTTGGGACTGAGCAAAACAACGGACAAAATTAAAAACAGATTTTTTTGGGACGGAATGCTAAAGGACATCGAAAAGTACGTTAAGGGATGCCCAGATTGCCAAGCTAGAAAGGGGCCTTCCTTACAGAAAAACGCCAGGGATGTTACAACCAATACCAGTGGGAACAGTTTTCGACAAAATAGGAATTGATCTTTTAGGCCCATTTAGAAAAAGCAGTAAAGGGGAAACAATGATAGTTGTAGTTACCGATTACGCCTCACGATATGCCATCACAGCCGCCCTTCCGAATGGAAAAGCCGGACTAGTTGCAAATTTTTTACTGGAAAAAGTATTCTTGATACACGGGATGCCAAGAAATCTGCTCAGCGACAGAGGAAAAGTCTTTCAATCGAAATTAGTAAGGGAATTAGAAAAATTAATGGGAGTAAGAAGCCAGTTTACAACCGCATACCACCATCCTTGTTGTAATGGTCTCACTGAAAGGCTAAATAAGACAATAGCTGCACACAGCAAGCCGCAGCAAAGGCAGACTTAAACCAGTGCAAGTACCTTTCGTTGGAAAAGCCCCTCTGGGTATCTTCAGCCTTATCGTTGTCCAGTGCAATTACCTCGCGTTGGGAAAGCCCCTCTGGACAAGGCATAAGGGTGACGATAACTAATCTACAGTCCCCCAAGCAGCGTTGACGTGTGGCTCCCTATAAGGACCCCAGTGTTCGAAGGGTCATGCATCTTATAGGATTAGCGTACATGTAAGGGTATATTTGGGAAAATATATATCTATATTTTCATATAACCTGAGCAAGTTTCTCTCCATCAACCCCCAAAGCTACAAACCCCCCATGTCACCTCCGTAAAGCGGGCAGTTGTGACAATATAAACAATTTCCTGTCAAATAACTTATTTTGGTGAGATATATATCCTATTAACAAAAAAGCCTCATTTTCAGATGACATGCGTAACATTTAAGTTAAATTTTACCTTATTGTAACTTGAAAATTACTTAGTTGCATAAATGTCTACCTCAACTTTATGTAGTCATGTTTAGTGGGAATAATCACATGAAGTGAGTTTCAATGAATCAAGTTCAATATGTTTCTTACCTAATATGGCAGAATTTAATTGTGCACAAACCGCTTCCCTTTGCGAAGGCGCTAGTTGCCACCCCATAGGACTTGCCCAAGGATTAGAATACGCTAATAAACTAAATGCATCCTAAAATTTAAAAAAAAAACCCATTAAAAAAATATTTAAAACAAACCACAAGTACTTACTTCTAACATCTCTTGATTGTGTTGTTTACTAGTTTTATCCGCTTTTAATCTTTGACTCATACTATACAAGTCTCTACCGAATTCTAGTATTCTCTCTACTGCCGGTTTGGAACAAGATTTTCTACATAATGGCGTGTCTACATCTGCAACAGAATCCACTGTTGAAGTGGCACAAAAATAATCAGAAAATAATAATATAATTTGCACATGCAACCCAAACAAACAAAAATTAATATAAAGGGTTTTTCGGTTTTTCAATTGGGACGGGTCGAAGTTGGCAGCCTGTGGCGGCCATGTTGTTTCCAAAGCTTTTGTTTAACCTGTTGTTTATTATTCAGTTACTGGTGCCAAATTACCATGGCAAGTTACACGATTGAGCAGCACGTCCAAATGATAAAACTGTATTATCAAAATGATTGTTCGCTAGTCCTAACGTTGCGCGCGTGAGGCCATCACCGTCAACGGCGACCGCTACAGAACCATGATTACCGATTTCTTTTGGCCCAGACTAAACAATATGGACGTGAACGACATGTGGTTCCAGCAGGACGGTGCTACGTACCACACAGCGGACGCCACGATGAATATGCTGCATGAACGATTTGAGGGTACGATTATCTCTCGCAGAGGTGACGTAAATTGGCCGAAAAGGTCGTACGATTTGACCCCTTTGGACTACTTCTTGTGGAGTTTTCTGAAGTCTCAGGTTTATGCCAATAAGCCGCAATCGACCGATGCCCTTAAAGTGAACATAACCCAGGCCATCGCTCAAATTCAGCCGGATGTATGCGGCAGAGTAATTGAAAATTGGACCAGTCGGTTCCATGCCTCCTTGAGAAGCCGCGGTGGATATTTGAACGATGTGATGTTCCATAAATAATGGCATACAAAGACCCTTAAATTAAAAATAAAATTTTGGTAATACTTTACACACATCCGCGCACTTGCCGCTTCTCGAGCGTGATAGGACATTGTCCTTGCGAGTGCGCATATCCGTAAAAAAAAAAAAAAAAAAAACAGCTTATTTCATTTCTCTTTAACATCGACCCGTCCCTATTGAAAAACCCTTTATAAATATTAACTAACCCATATCGTCGTCGTCGTTATCACAACAATTTGCCTCTTGCCCATCAGTACTATTATGGTTATTGCCATTTTGATATCCGTTTAATGATTCTTTACCGTTTAAACAATTCTCATTAGTGTGACATTCTTTACCATTTTGACAATCCTAAATAACAACAAAGTCTTTGCATTATAAGAATTTTATATGGCTAAGAAACTCACTTGAATATTAGGGCAATCTGTTATATTTGGACAATTTTCGCTGCTTGTTTGTCCATTATTGCAATCCTCTGAATTGTCCACCTCCATGCAGTCGTCATCAGTCTGAATTACGGACGTATTTGGACAGTTGCCGTTATGTGAAGAGTTTGTTTCATTCATTTCATCAACCTTAAAAAAAAAATAGTAAAGTTAAAACCTTAAAAATTAAATAGTTTATAAAATTACCGAAGATTTATTATTCTTATTACTACTATATCCTTTAGTGGACTGAATTACTGAAGTTTGAATGGGGCTGCCAGGTCTAGGAGAAGCTAAAACACCTGTGCCACATTTCCTGTGGCAAACCTCAATGTCAGAACCATTAACCATTTCGACAAATTGGCGACACTAAAACATTAAAATCATTAACCCAAATTTGTACAAAAATAATTATTTTACTTTTAACATGAACAAAAGATTCTGGTTGTTTTCGAGCAGTCCTGGATATAATCGGCTGGTCCTCTCGATTGCTTCGCCCATGCGTCCGGACAGGACAAGCTTGAGAATTTCTGGAAAAAGAACCACTAGGTGTTGAACCCATCAGTTTTAAGGACACGCACACACACACACACACCACCCAAGTATGTTTTTAGTTGTGTACTTACTTTGGCGATTTTTAATTGAATGAATATCTTCGGTAAAAGGCTGATTGGTGATTTGGGCGAAGGCCTCGGCAGTATTGCAATATCCGTGATGAATTAGATAAGTAGAAACCATTCTACAAAAAATTATAAATGTATTTCAAATCTAACCAACTACAAGTATTTACTTGTTTAAAATTGCTTGCCACTCGGACTGTTTAGCGGGCACAGGGAAATCTCTAATTTCCATTTTGGTACGGGCTTGCAGCTCCTTCATCATGTCTTCTATGTCGAAAACGAAAGGCTCTTGACCAAAGTTTGCGTCAACGACTTCGCCTGGCGTTTGAAGACCCACTGTCGGGTACAGATTTGGCTATGGAAATCATCAAATTCAGTTTAAGACTTTAATTATTAATAAATCCTGAAAGTTTTATGCTGATCTGAGTGATTCAAGGAGAGTTTTTTTTTGACAATGTGAAGACATGACTTTCACTATCAACGAAATAAAATGTTTCTACACAGTGCCTATTTACTTGAACTTTACAAATTAACCCAAAAAGAATTATAGAAAATCAATAATTGACTCAAAAAAGCTTATTATAATGCCGAGATAAATAAAGCAGATATGGAGAACACTAAACACTAAAATCAACAACTCCAAACCCAGGAAAAACCGCTTGCTACCCAAGTTAGTACATGAAGGACACACTGTGCAGAACCCACAGGATGTTGCCAACTTGCTAAACCAATACTTTTCCGGAATTGCTGCAAAACTAGCAAAAAACTTCCCCCAAAAATTTTTTTCCCTCAACTCCAACCAACTTCTACTGCTTATAATAATCAATGGGAACCTGTGACTACAGAGGAGGTCAGTGCAGTTATAAAAAAATTAAAACCAGGAAAATCACCTGGAACTGACAGCTTGGGCATTGATACAATCAAGGAATTGAAAAATGGAATAAGTTGATAAATACTGCATCTGTACCAAGTTTGTTTAAAATGGCAAAGGTTGTCCCTTTATTTAAAGGTGGTTGTAGCACAGAACTAAATAACTGCAGGCCCATTTCCCTGCTTCCAGCTATGTCTAAGGTATTGGAGACCTGTGTAAATATGAGTTATTTGGATGGAATAAATTTTTGGTATGCGGGTCAATATGGATTCAGAAAACACAACAATACCTCCTCAATAACTACAGTATGTTGAATGTGAAGGTTACAAAAGTAAAATGGAAAACATTGTACACGGAGTGCCCCCAAGGTTCAATTCTAGGACCGACACTCTTTCTAGTCTACATGAACTCACTGTCATACATACCTCCTCAAGGCTCTCAATTTATATGTAGATGATACTTTGCATCACTTATTTTGACAAAGACCCTGCTAACTTATAAATCATCATTGAAGAAGACTTACAGAAAATAAGCGATTGGCTCTGTTACCACAAACTTAGAGAAAGACTTATATCATAGAGAAATATAATAAACCAAGGTGAGAGTTACCGATTCTATTGGGTACGGGTAGGACACTGGCAACGCGATGACTAATCTGTGGCGATGACGTCAGATCGATACTAGTGCCACCATACACTACAACACCAACTTAAATAACATTTGGCGGGCTTTTTGAACTTTTAAATTATAGTTTTGTTATTTCTGAAGATAGAAATTTAACCCAGCGTTTTTCCGCGGTCGACAGAAAAAAAATTGCGAAAAAACGCTGGCCTGGAAACAAAAATAAAAACGGTTAATCGCTTAAAATTGGCTCATATATTTTCATCTTTCGAAATTAACAAAGAACATACATATACAAATAAAATAAATATACATAAACAACGTAAATAAAGAAATAATAAAAATTAAATTATACTTATACCGCAAGATAACAACAAAAAAAAAAGCAAAAACAGCCAAAACATCTCACTTTCTACTAATAATAGGTTACTATTTAATAATTATCATTACTTATATATAAACTGAGCCATTTTCACATTGTATATCTCGTAAATCTTACC